TCATTTGATACATGATTATCTCAAAGCAACTCTGGGTCCACCAAATCCCATTACCAGCCCAAGCAGAGACACTGTCTCAAAAATAGGCAACTTCCGGGAATATGGGGAGGGGAAATGAGAGTTGTTTTGACAAGATATGCAGGCTAGCCTTGCTTATTAAGCTTCCAGAGCTACCACTGAACTAGCTGAGCAATTCCCTTGAAACTCTCAAGCTTGGCTTGCAAGGTAGCTCAGGAAGTTAAAGTGCTTGGTACCCAACCTGACAACCTGAGTTCAATCCCCAGGACTCACATGGTGGAAGGAAAACCCACTCCTGTAAGTTGTAGATTTCCACATGTGCTATGTGGCACACATGCCCACTCACATAAATGTAATTTTAATATTTATTGCCATGAATTTAATGGTAGTGATCTCCACTTTACTGCATGTGGGAATCTTAGAGATACTATTTTCATAATATTTTGGCCACAGTTCACTGGGCATTTCTGTCCATGTATTTTGATAGTCTTGCTGTGTCCCAGCCTTGTTTGGACTTATTTTTGATACTTCAGCCCATGCTGAAGTGTGTGCCATGAGCATTTCTTTATGTCTTTTTTAGATAGGGTCTCCCTGTAGCCCCAGCTGGCCTGGAACTCAGAGATCTGCTGCCTCTGCCTACTCAGTTAAAGGCGGCCCAGTTCACTGCATTTAAATATTTTTATTTTATGTATATGTGTATTGCCTGCATGTATGTGAGTGCACCTGTGTTGTGCAATGCCTCCGAGGTCAGAAGAGGGCTTTGGATTCCCCTGAACTGGAGTTAAGGACAGTTCGTAGCCGCCATGTGGGTGCTGGGAATCAAACGGGTCCTCTGCAAAAGCAGTCAGTGCTCTTAACCTCTAAGCCATCTCTTCAGCCCCAAGACTATCTTTTAAAAAGAAGGAAAAAAGGGACTGGAGAGATAGCTCAGTAGTTAAGAAAAAAGTTAGGCTGGGCGTGGTGTCCTGTTGCCTCAAATTCAAGGCCCTATCTCAAAAAGAAAACTAATTCCAGGCATATACCACCTATGTCCAGCTTGTAGTCTTTTTGTACACATTACTATTCTGATGGTTTCACATGACAAGACTGTTTTGAAAACAAAAACAGACATGAAGAGGCAGGCGGAGCTCGGTAAGCTTGAGGTTAGCCTGGTCTACATAGCAAGTTCCAGGTCAGCTGGGGCTACAGGGAGACCATCTCAAAAAAATTAAAACCAGCAAAAAAAAACAAACCCAAAACCACAATGGTGATGTACAGCTTTAGTCTCAGGTCTTGGAAGGCAGAGATAGTAGGCTAGCCTGGGTCTATAATAGGGAGTTCCAGACCAGCTGCAGCAACAAGGAGACTGCGTTTCAAACAAACCCTTAGGACTGCAGGTGTATACCACCACACTCAGCTTGCTTTTTCTACACATGGTACTCCAAAGGTTGCTACTATATAAATAGGTCAAAACGAATTGATTCTCCAGGAAGCTTTGACTTACTAGAGGAAATGTTTAGAAAACAGATGGTTTTTGGAGATTAGAGTAGCAATAATTTCCTTCTTATTTAGAAAATGGCACCTACTATATATACCCACTGATTGGCAGTGAAGTATTTGCATTAATTTGATCAGATATAAAACATAGAGAAGGTGACCCAGTGAAAATCTGAAGATTATGGTACTGAATATTTGAGAGCTTGTTTGGAGGTTCTAGCAGTGCACCAGTCCTCCTCTATCGGGGAAGGTTGTCCTCTTCGACCAAGTGTGCAGCTCTGGGAGGGATACCCGCAGAACGTTGAGGGAGGAAGGGGACAACCCGCCTAGCCAGCCAGATCAGCCAAATCAATCCTGGTGATCAATGGAGTGACAGATGTCACAGCCAGATGGCCTGCACATCCTTAATAACTATTTGAATTCTGTTTAACAGTCTCCAGTACTGTTAACACAAGGTTCTATTACCTGGAACAGAAATAGAAATAAGGTTTTTCTTTAAAGTTAGTTAAGAATTAGAGTATTCTGGGCTGGAGAGATGGCTCAGTGGTTGCTGCTCTTGTACAGGATCAGAGTTCAGTTACCAGCACCATGTTGGATGACTCACAACTGTCTGTAATTCCAGCTCCAGAGGACTAGTCACCCCTCACCTCCCCAGACACCTGCACATATCCACACACACAAACATATATTTATAAATAATAAGATTAAAAAAAAAACTATTGTATTCTACCTATTCAATTCTGGGAATTAAAAAACAATCCTGTAATTGTAATCTATAATGGCAGGACAATTATTTAAGATTCTGTATTATAATGATTTGGGGGTTGTGGGGGGGACAGAATCTCATATAACCCAAGCTGGCCCTTTACTCCTAATGTCCAGGCTCTACCTGCAAAGTGCAAAGATTATAGGCATGTGTCACAGCACCTGGCAGTGCATAATGAGCAGCCTAGGCATATAGAACATTGCTAAACTGCATACAAAATATTGTTCAGCAGGATCTGTTGGCACACACCTTTAATCCCAACACGGGAGGAAGAAGCAAGAAAATCTCTGTGAGATCAAGGGCAGTCTGGTTCACAAACCAAATTTCAGGCCAGCAAGTGTTGCAAAGTGAGAAAAAAGTTCAAGAGTCCTGGAGATGGCTCAGTGGGGTGAAGGTACCTGACAACCCAAGTTCAATCTCCAGGAATCCACAAAAGGGTGGGAGAACTAACTTCAAAAAGCTGTTCCCTGACCTCTACACAGAACACAATAAATTAAAAAGAAATTTAAAAATATTGTTCAGGAGGCTGGAGAGAACCTGGGTTCAGTTCCCAGCACCCACAACCTTCCAAAACCTCCAGTTCGTGGGGATCCAATTCCCTCTTCTGACCTCTGCAGGCACTGATGACACACGTGAACTTACATACATCCGGGCAATATACTTGTACACATAAAATTAATAAATATTATTCAAAAAACTTTTGCTAAAGAGACATATCTGGGGACAAAGAAAGGATAAAAACCCCCAATTTTTCACTCCAGTTATCTACTGAAAAGGTACTAGATTTTAAATGAGCAAAGCTTCCAATATCAACAATCATAATCCATGTTATGTCACATTTTCTTAGGGATTAAAAAGTAATCTCAGGGGGCTGAAGAGATGGCTCAGCGGTTAAGAGCACTGACTGCTCCTGCAGAGGACTCGGGTTCGATTCCCAGAACCCACATGGCGGCTTTGAACCATCCTTAACTCCAGTTCCAGGGGAATCCGAAGCCCTCTTCTGAACTCCACGGCACTGCACAACACGGGTGCACTCACATACATGCAGGCAATACACACATACACATAAAAATCAATTTAAAAAAAGTAATCTCAGCCAGGCGTGGTAGTGTACGCCTTTAATCCCAGCAATTGGGAGGCAGAGTCAGGTAGATGTCTGTGAGTTCAAGGCAAGCCTGGACTACATAGTGAGTTTCAGGCCAGCTGGGGCTACAGGGAGACCCTGTCTCAAAAAGACCAAACAAAACAAAAAAGTAATCTCAAGTATTTGTTATTGTAATACTGGAGAATGAACCCAGGACTTCAAGAATGCTAGGCATACCTCTACCACTAAGTTCCATTCCAACCCAGAATTACATTTTCTTTAAAAAATTTTTTAGAACTTCCAGTGTGGCCTGTGCCTGTAATCCCAGCACTGTGGAGGTGAAAGAAGGATCACTGTCAGGGTCACTGCCAGCCTGACTACACTGCAAGGCTCAGTCTGCCAAAACTATAAAGGGGTGAGGGGGGTACAGAGGAACCTCCAACTAGACTCAGTTACAAACTATTTTTACCGTCCTCAAAGGGCTATCTTTACCATATTTTTATCCATTCCTTCATCACCTGAAACGCAAGAAACTGAAACACGACCCAACGCTTCGTTTTCATGGGTCGGGCTGTTACTGCAGGCTAGCCTCCCTGTGCTATGGGAGGGTGAGTACACCCGATTTAACCACCACGGAGGCTGCATGCTCAGCTCATCTTTCCTCTGCCTGGTGGCCGAAGAGAACGAGGATTTACTGAGAACGTTAGGACATGAGCCTAGTACTTCCAATAGCTTAGAAAAGGGCTGGGCTAAGAGATCTAAGAAACACTATCCCAAATACGCCACAACTCATTTCTTAATGGGCTCCAAGGGCCCGACCGATGCTTTCCCCATCCCTCGCAGTTAGCGACACATAACAGGAAAAGAACATACAAAGCAATGCAGAAACGCCATGTCGCCGCCAAGTTTACGGCCACACACAGGCATCCGCAGTGTCTCCCAGCGGTTCCCTCGGGTCGGAAGGCTCAGCCTCCCTCCGCCCGGCCATACCCCGAGATGGGAACCGGCAGGCAGGCGCGGAAGTCAGTCACTGCCATCAACAGGCCAGGGACAGCAGAGTCCCAGCACGGAGGCCTAGGCGGCCCAAGAGCCCCCTGGGAGCGCGCGGACTCCCTTCCGGCCCTGCGTCGCCCCTCAACCTCCCTCCCCACCCGACGACGGTCGGCCATCGCGAGGCGAAGCCCATCCGGTCTGCGGTGTGCACTCTGGCGAACCCACGGGGAGCTCCACCGTCGCCGCCTCCTCAGTCCTGTAGGGAAAATGGCACCCATCACCCCATTTCCCTCCCGGGCAATCAGAAAACCAACCTCCCTCCCTCGCTGTAAAATGGCGCCTCCCGCTGGGGCCCCAGAATCAGCATAATTCACTCATCGGCGGGGAGGAGTTGGCACGGGATGAGCAGTTCGGCCAACCAGTCAGATGCGGGAGCTTTGATTCTACCTTTGGCGCGAGCCACTCAGGCGCGGGCTGGAAGGCCAGGCCAGGGTGACGTACGAGAAGAGGGCGTGGTTAATGGCATTTCCCTTTGCGTCGGCGAGGTTTGGACCAGTGGTGAGCAAGAGTGGTTGCGTGAATGATGTAATGACAGCCCAATGGACGCCAGGGGCGGGCTTCAGACTTGCTATGCGGGTTGCAGGGCCTGGGGGCCGGGCGGCTGTTTCCTGTCCTGGTGCATGGTGGTCGGACGAAGGAATTGTTGGAAAATTTTCTCGGAGGTTCGTATATAAATGTGTTTTTACCCAGTGTGCATTATTCTCCGCCCGGCCGCCGCCCTCAGTGCGGCGGCGCGGGCCCAGTTGGGCCCGGGCTCTACCTCCGGCTGCTCAGCCTAGGCCTCAGGCCTTGCCGATCCCACGGCCGCCTTCGTAGCGGAGACCGGGCAGAAGCGGAGTTTATTAATAACCTCAGGCCGCCACTCTGGGGCGGCGGAGCTTTTCTCTCTGAGGACGCCACCCCCCTCCCCTTCTCCGCGCCCCGCCTGTTCCCCTCAGGGAGCCGCGGAGGGGCGGGAGAGCGAGCGGGGAGGGTGGAGCCCTCGGGAGCCTGGCGCCCGTGCTCGGCTGACCTCCGCGCGGAGCGTCCCCGGGCGCTCCAGGACGCGGCTCCTCTGGCTGGGCCGCCCGGCCTCACTTCGCTCCAGGCCCCTGCAGGAGCGCGGGCGCTGAGGCTGGGGACCGCGCCTGCACGGAGCACACGGGTTTCTTTGCACATTTGTTCTTTTCATGTTTCCTTTTTTTTCTTTCCCTTTTTTTGTTTTTTAAGGTTTCTGAGACCTGACATCAAGTATTCGAAAACAGCGATCCATCATCCTTCTTTGTTCCCCTTTTGACCTAAGAGCAGACAACCGGGTCAAATATAATCTCATTTTTTTTTATGGTGGGACTTAAACCGAGTTTTTGTTCACTTTTGCTTTTTTAACATTTCCCCCCCTTTAGTTACATTAAGTTATAAGACGTAGGAAAGAATCCCAATGTCAACTTATTTTAGAATCAAGTTCTGCCTTTGTTTTTGAAATGCCTAAATCGACTCTCACAGTTGGAAATGTGAGAAAATGTAGGCTTCAGATTTGTTCAGCTTGGTCCTCAATTTTACTAGAAAATGCATGAGTTCTACGGTAGTTGGCGAACATGTGTGCAATGTTTACTTTTTTGTGCTGAGTATATAGTTCGTTCATTATTTAGTGTTTAGCAAAAAATTGTGTTTGGGTCTCAAAACAGATTTTTTTTTTTTTTTTTTTTTAGACAGGGGCTCCCTGTAGCCTCCGTGGGATGGAACTTGCTTTTTTGACCAGGCTGGCTGCCTCTGCCTCCCAAGTGCTGGGATTAAAGGTGTGTGCCACCGTGTCCAGCCCAAGATTGAAGATTTTCATCCTGGCATAGCTTGGCTATTTGGAGATTATTTGATCAATGGACTCTACAAATATTCTTTGCCCTTTTATTTTTATAACAGCTTTAGCCAGACATGATGGCTCATCCTGTAATCCCAAGAATCTCGAGGCTGAGGCAGGAGGATTGCATCAAGTTCAAAGATAGCCTGTACTACATAGTTTCAAGCTAGCTACCCTGTGATATCCTGTCTCAGAAAAATAAACAGCAAATTTAAAAATATAACACATGTCTTAAAATTCACCATTTAATGACCTGTGTGATGGTGCATACCTTTAATCCCAGGGCTAGGGAAGCAGAGGCAGTTAAGATTGAGGCCAGCTTAGTTTATATAGTTCTAGGCTGTGGCTGCAGGGAGACCCTGTTTCATACAGACAAAAAGTTTAAAATGAGGGAAATGGGTCTATGAGTCCAGGCCTGTTATCTCAGCTGCCCAGGGTCAGGTAGAAGAAATTACAAGTTCAAGGCCTGCCTGAACAACAAGTTGAGGTCAAGTTCAGCCTGGGCTGAGGTCAGACCCTGTCTCAAAGTGAAGGGCAGTCTGGGGATATAATGCTCAGTGGTAGAGTGCTTGCTTACCAGGCAAGAGGCCTTAAATCCAGCCCCCAGTACTGTAAATCAACCCAGTTTGGTGGTACATACCTGTAATCCTAGCATTTGGGAGGTAGAGACAGGAGGATCAGGAGTTCAGAGTCATTCTTGGCTACATATGGAGTTCAAGACTAGTGAGAGCGCACAAAGAAATTTATAAATAGTGTTAACTGAATGAGGTTTAAATATATTCAGAGGGGTAAATTTCTTGTTTTAAAAATACTAGTCCTGGGGCTGGGGAGAGGGCTCAGTGGTTAAGTACACTGATTGGTCTTGCAGAAGACCCAGGTTCAAATCCCAGCACCCACATGGCAGCTAACTGTCTGCAACTCCAGTTCCAGGAGATCCAGTAGCCTCTTCTGTCTTCCATGGGCATCACACGACATGGGTGCACTTACCTACATGCACGCAATAAGTACATACACATAAAATTAAAAAAAAAAAAATAGTTCTAGGGGCATGGTGGTGCACAGCTTTAATCCCAGCACTTGGGGGAGGGGGTTTGCAGGTGGATCTGTGAGTTCAAGGCCAGCCTGGTTTACATAATGAGTTCAAGGCCAGCTGGGGCTACAGGGAGACTCTTGTCTTAAAACAAGTAAAAATGCTAGTCCCATTTATGCAGCCCAATAGTTTCAGAACATACTACCTCCCCAAAGTAAGCCATGCTCTTTGCTAGTTCTCCATTCCTTCTGTGTCTTATTTTATTCACACATCTGACGTAAGTCATACTGTATGTGATCTTTTATGACCTTCTGTAACACAGCATAGTATTTGCCAGATTTGTTAAAGTTGTAGTAAGACTTTGTTTTATGGCCAAATGATACTATATGGACAGAGCCCATTTTTCTTATCTAAAATGTTGGTAGATATTTGTGGGTTGTTAACACCTTTTGGCCATTAAGCATAATGTTTCTCAACAATCATGTACAGGTTTTTGTGTATACACAGATTTTTAAATATCTTTTAATTTACATTTTTATCTACTCTGTGTGTGTGTGTGTGTTTGTGTATAGGTATGTACAGTGTGCAGTGGAGGTAAGAGGACGATTTTTGGGGGGCTCATTTTTTATCTTATTTTTTTGAGACAGGGTCTCCCTGTAGCCCCACCTAGCCTGGAACTTCCTACTAGACCACGGTGGCCTTGGACTCACAGAGATCCTATTGCCTTTGCCTCCCAAGTGCTGGGATTAAAGGCATGTACCACCACGCCCGGCCTGTTTTTGCTTTGTTTTGTCTTTTTTTATTTTGTTTTGAGACAGGGTCTTGCTATCTAGCCCAGGCCTATCTCAAATTTATGATCCTACCTTACTTTCTGAGTGCTGAAATTAAGATGCATACCACCACAACCCGTGATTTATTTATTTATTTATTTATTTATTTATTTATTTATTTTATTAGTACTCTGTTGAGTAAAAGTGGTGGTATCTCTAGTGGAATTGGTTTGCATTTCTCTGGTTGCTTACGGTGTTGGACATTTGCTCATTTGCTTGTTGAACATTGGTCTCTTTGGAGAAATGTCTATTTGTATCCTTTCTCCATTTATATGTTGAGTTGGAGAAATTGCTTGTGTTCTTTTTAATTTTTTTATTACATTTATTTATTTAGTCTTATCTCTGTATGGTCTCAGTGCTACCAATTATGTGGAGGTCAGAGGACAACTTGAGTGAGTTGGTTCTCTCCTTCCATCATGTGGGACCCTGGGGTGAAACTCAGGTAAGGCTCAGCTGTTGCTCAGTGGTAGAGCCCTTATCCTGGATTGAATCCTCAACACTGAAGGCGTGGGGAACTGGGACAGACTGGAATTGAATGTCTCTTCTCTATCTCTTAGTCCTAGTCCTGGGAGGAAACTGTTTGAGTTTTAAAATGTATACACAAAGCTTGCCCTACTACTTGTAAACAAACTTAAAAGGCTGAGTATAGTCATCCATGCATAGTCTTCTGCAGCTTGGACACATTTCTAACCATTTTATGTAGCTCTCTGTTTGCTTATTGCTGTGCTGGAGATGAAACTGGAGGCCTTGAACTTTTTGATCAAAAGCTCTAGAACCCCCAGGCCTTTCTTTCTTTGTTTTTTGAGAGAGGGACTGTCTATAGCCACAGCTTTTTTTTTTTTTTTTTTTAAGTTGGTAGTGTGCTTGCCTAATATGCAAGCATGTTCCATCCACCACTGCATAAATGCAGAGTGGGTGTTGCACACTTGTAATCCCAGCACTGGAGAGGTAGAGATAAGAACCAGCCATTCAAGGTCATTGGCTACATAACAAGTTCTAGGACAGCATGGGCAATATGAGACCCTGTCTAAAATAAAGGTGTGTGTGTGTGTGTGTGCATGCGCGTGCACGCAGAGCCTGGTACCTGTAATTCAAGCACTTGGGAGTCAGAGGCAAGAAGGATTGTCAAGTTCAAGTCCAACCTGGGCTACGTACTGGGCTCCTGATAGCACATGTGATAACTATAAAAATGCTCACTTTTTATCCAGCAGTTTTAATCCTAGGAGTTTAAGAATATAGTATAAAAATAATGAAAAAAAAATCTTTTTACATTTTATTTGTATGCCTAGGGGATGGAATGCACATACCACACCACCTATGTGGAGGTCAGAGGACAAGTTCTAGTAGTCAATTCTCTCCTGCTATATGCAGCCTGGGTATTGAACTCAAGTTGTCAGTGTTGGTGGCAGGTGCCTTTACCTTCTGAACCATTTTGCCAACTCTAAAAAGATGATGGTGATTACTTTTTTTTTTTTGACAGGGTCTCATTATGTAGCCCTTGGCCTAGAACTTGTGTATGAATAATTTTTGGTATACACCACTAAAAAGTTTTGAAGAATAAAAATCTAGTGTTCATAGCTATACTATTGTGACCTTAAGAATGAGAATTTAAGGCTGGGTGTGGTTATGCATGCCTTTAATCCCAGCACTCTGAGGCAGAGGCAGGAGGATCTCTATGACTTCAGGCCAGCTTGGGCTACTGGGAGACCCAGTCTCTAAAACACCAAAAAACAAAAACAACAACAAAAACCTTGTTTGGGGCCAAGAATGTGGTAGTAGAGAGCTCACTCATATGTAAAGTGATCAATCGATTGATTCATATCTCTCTCTCTCTCTCTCTCTCTCTCTCTCTCTCTCTCTCTCTCTCTCTCTCTCTCTCTTAATGATTGACCCTACAGTTTTGCTAAGTACTTTCTGTACCACTGAGCTATACTCCAAGTCTATAGTTACTTTTTTAAAAAAATACTT